ACGCGTCGCGAAGCATGCATCCTTTTTATTCTATGCTGATGGCGTCTCTGACTCTCTCGCTCCGAGGACGGCTTTCGCTCGCTCCTCGCTTTTTTATTCCTCATCATCATCACACAGCATATATTCGCTTGAAGAGATTGCATGTGCGAGGAGAAGTACATGAGCAATGTACGTCGGGGCCAGCAGCAGGAGCAGCGAAGGCAGCAGGCCGAGCCGAGCTGAGTCGTACCACGCAGCAGGAGTATCTTTGCACTCTCGCTAGAGAAAAGTTCATTCTATGGCCTTCTTTTATTAGATACAATCTAAAAATATGCGCGCTCGGGCGGAGTCGGACGCGGTCGTCGAACACTTGCGCCGTCGCGTCCTGCCTCGTGCTCCGCTCTACGCCAGCTGGATTTCTCTTATCTTTCAACTGGGGCCCAGGCAAGGGGGCCGCCTATAGATACATAGAGTCGTACGCTGCCTGCGCCATAGATACGCGCCCAGGCGAAACTCAACCTTACCGAGCGTAGCCGAACAGAGCTGAGCGCTCAGCTCACGTACTACTATGCCATTCCACTCGCCCCATCCAACTGCTCTTTCTCTCTCTCTCTCTCATTCTATATCTGTCTCTCTCTAGCGCACGTACACACACTCCCAGTATTCTGGCAGAAATATATTTCAACAATATTCTTCCCTACTCAGCTTTTGTTTCTTTACGTTTCAAACTGGTAGAATTTTGAAAAAAATTATACCCAAATTTATAGAATGCGCGCTTTTAAAATTTCCTTGATACGCAGCGCACTTTTTTTTATATACGAATGTTTTCATCACAAACGTCGAGAGAGGTGTGTGCTAAGATCCGTTTCACATGGAGCGGACACAATAATGCTTGGGAATTGTTTGGCCATGGCCTGGAATGGTTCTCTCTATTTTTCATTCTGTTTGCTGTACATATACATACGCTACTTCTCTCACTTCTTCTCACCATAGTTCTCTTTCTATAGATACGTGCACATACATGCAGATATCTGGGGTTGACATAACCTTAAATGAAAACAATGTTATATGCAGCAACAACATAAAAATGGTACTATCTCTGGGTGTCAGGTTGTTTGACACACCGAAGTGTTAGATTGTTGGCGGCCGATTGAGTAGTGTCCGCCGATAATGCAATAAAAAAAGCACGAGTGGGGCGGCGGCGGCGCCACGTGGTCTTCCCTGGACCCAATCGCTGCTATCGGAAGTGCGACATTACCTGCTCTCTCTGCTCCTTCATTCATATCAGGGCCGTTTGTGTGTGTATGGAGAGATAGAGATAGGTCAGTTCCGCCCCCTTCTGCCGCGATTGATTGATGGATCTCTCGTCATTTCGTATACATGTATATAGAGTATGCAAGAGAGAAAGAGAGAGAGCTTTTATGACGTTTTTATTGGCCCGCGCCGATTATTTCCGGTGCAAGTGCGCGATTGTTTATATTTACGACCTGTCGATTTTTCACGGCCAACGCACCATTATCACACATTATTACGCGCGCATCGCACCAGTTTTACGCAAATCGCGTTACTTAATGAATTGGCGCGTTCCTCTCCATTTCGCTCTTCTGCTTGTTTTCATTGCGTTTTGTTTTCCTCCTCTTTCGCTCGCTCGGCCATCAATTACACGATGTCATAACCATCATCATCAGCATCATCAAAGCGCCGCCCAGCAATTAGCATTTTCACTTTTCGGACCACGTGCACCGCGTGCAATTGACAATTCTCCTGGCGCGAAGACCATCGCAATCCTCTGACCTAGGTCAAGCTCTCGAACGCCAATTACGCGCGTTACACAATTCCCTCCTCTAATTGCCGCCTAAAATACTCATTAAAGTCAGCCGGAAGTCAATGTCGTCGTAAACAAGTTTCATACCTCTCCTTTCCTTCTCACATCCCAACTCATTTCAATCTCTTTCACAACGTTAACTATAGTAGTTGTGTTAACCAAATTTGTCTTTACGGCACATTTACTAGAGTATATATTAAAAAATTGTATTAATATTTAAAAAAAATCCATATACTACCCAACTTATGCATACAAAAAAATAGAAATTTATAAATGTACACATTTTAGGTATTTTTTGACAAATATTGTCTGTATACAAAAATGTTTTTAATTTTGGAATTCATGTTAATTATATATTTTTCTATAGTTTCTAAAAAAATATAAATCTTGCTTCGAATATTCGAAATATTCTAATATCCTGATTCGGATACGTATGACACCGCAACGCTTGATATTTTTTTTTAGGTCGAGGTTCGAAAATTCGCCACTGACAAGTTGACTGTAATCAGACGTATATAACGATGCTTCTTTCTATATGCAATGTGGTTTGTACAAGGCGTTGCATAAAACGAAACAAAAAAATGTATATACTGTTACGAGAACGTGCGCCGCCTGATTCGTTCGCTAGAATCGATGCAATGGATTATATAAGACTGTTTGTCGTGTAACTCCTCCATCGATGGGTATGCATGTCTTCGCGAGATTTTGTTCTCGGCGATGAAGAAGGACGACGGAGGGGAACCGTGAAGCTAATAACACAAATATTCCAAGAGCGTGCGAAGCCAACCGTGAAGATTTAATGAAATTAAATAAATTACGCTCATATTATTTTTTTCGTGTGTGCGCGTCTAATTCTTTTGTTTCATATTTCATGTGTTTCTCTTAACGAAACAAAAGATTTTTTGAACTATTCATGTTCGTTTCGTGCATATTCGAAAATAGTCGAATTCAAAAGTTCCAAATTTTGTTTTTTTTTTTAAGTTTATGATTGGCGATGTTGAGCAAGCAGCGGAGCCAACAAAAATTGAATACGTACAAAAAAAATAGGATAATAAAGAATGGAGGAAAGAATAAATAAAAAGGAGCAAAAAAATACAACGAAGTAAGAGAGAGAATACGAAATTCTATAGCGGAACTAAGTTGTTCTCTTGTAAAAGAACTTCTCTCTTCTGGCTTGCTGGCCTGCTTTCTACTCTACACCTTTACCGTTTACTCTCTAGCTCGGTCTAACCTAAAAACTAAGCGACGTCGCACTATACGAACTGGAGAATCTCGTTCTCCGTCCACAGCAGCTTCGGCGTTGCTTAACTTTTTCTTAATTTGTTTTTGTCGTCCGCAAATATAATTGAAATAAGCAATATAAAATTTAATACAATATACATATGTGTATATAAATATATAACTATATATATATATATATATATATATATTGATTGTTTATGTGAGTCCTCGGTGTAGCGGTTCTAATAACATGGCTTGGTGTCGTTGCTATAGCGACAGTGGGCGTAACTGCCGCTGTACACATCAGAATGACAGAACTTCATTCAATAATTCCACGTTTACTGCGATAGAGAGCATCTCTTTATAGAAAGGTTTTAGTGTATGCTGCGAGGAAGCAGCGCGATGACTTCATGGTTCGCGCCACCTCCGCTACAACCTAACCCTAAAACATTTCGAAAAACGAAAAAATAATAATAATTAGCAACATATAATTACACTTAATTACAAAAAACATAACTTTACAGGAGAAAGAGAGACGAGCATTTGTGTTGATGCACATACATGTATGTACGCGTGTATGCGAGTGTGTAACAAAGCTTTGAAATTTATTGATCCAATGCGCGAACAATACGAACGAATCGAGCCGCACATTAAAATTAATTTTAACATAAAGTTCGTAACTTTTGGTAAATTACTAATACTAATGCGATCAATACAAATTAATTTTTGAAAAAAAAAAATCGATAAAAAATTACATTTTGTTATATAAGAAAATATAATTCGAAATTTTGTATGGTAACATAAATCTTATTGGATTTGACTATGTTTTTGTTAATATAATAGTCCAATGGGATTCTTTTGGACGAAGTCTTATGTTATTAATGTTTTCAATCAAATGATTCTTCGTTTTTATTAAGTATTGGGAAGAAGTGCGGGAAATGTGAAGAAATTATGAACAAACAGGATGCGAGCAGCAAGAATTTTTTTGTTTGAATATCGTTTTTGAATGAATTTACTGAGCGTTAGGCTCCGCCCACTTTCAACCACATGTAACGGTAGAAAAGCGAGCCAATAAACGCGTCCGATAATCATAGTCGAATCGACGCGAACGTCAAAAACTTTGACGTTTCCAATTTGAATTCGAATTATAGTTTGTCTTTTTTTTGTGCGTACTCGTCGTACGTTGTTTTTCGTTATAAATGAGCGATGGAAATTTACAGGATTGGATGAAGTTGTGTGAGAGTCGTGTGTTGGAAGTTAGCTATCGTCGTAAACAGCGTTTTGTGTGCGAGTGTGAGTCTGGTTGTGTGGCGCCTTCCCCCACCGCCGTCGTCGGCCCCCAAAGTCTTGGACTTGCAGAGTCGACCGGAGCCGTGCCGTGCCGTTGCCCAAGCGGTGGGCGCGCGCATCCCACGGCAAGTCCCAAGTCCAAAACTCCGCTGGTCGACTGTACGTAAAACCCATTTCAATGCACCGCCGATTCCGCTCGTTTTCAAAACAAAACACATGCGGACACAGATATCGCATAGGTACATAACTAGATCGGCTTTGACAGTTGTCACGTGGATCTTGGAATTACGCGCGGATTCAAAAATCGCGTGCGCGCCAAATTCCACCGAAAAAAAAATAATAGTAGCAGTAAAGAGTTAAACTGAAATACGTGTATTAGTATATGCGGGAACGATCAGAGAATACCACACGAAATACAACTAACTTTCGAAAGGCGTTCTTGGTTTTACCGGAGCGTACTTTATATTGAAAAAAAATCAAGAATATCCATGAAGCATTACACAATCGCTCAAAGATGTGAGGCAAAAAGAAAATCCTATCTGACTGTAAATTTTCCCCCTTAGAATCTTATATAAATCTACAATTCTCAAATGATTTTTTCCCACTAAAACTTTTCTTTTTCTGACTTATATTAATTATTATTATTAATATATATATTTCTTTGTGTGTATTCGTAACGACTTACCTGAGACTCAAACCACATTGTTTAATTGGGACCGATGGTAGTCATCGTTGTTGCGTAGTGCAACATCGTCTCTCGTCGAACGCCGAACAACGCACTATCACAAATTCTGTATGAACTAACACGGAGCGCTACACAGTCTAAACAACGCTACAGTCGCGCTCAAGACCGGTCTGAGCGGTTCGACTACGTTCGGCTCGACTCGTCCGGGCTCGGCCCACCTGCACACGAAAAGGTTAGGTTGGAAATATATTCTAGCGGGCGAGTTTCAAAATTATTTTATGCTCTCGCGTCTCGTGCTTTTATATATATTAAAACATCCAAGAGACGCGAAATATTTTCTCGAAATAAGTCAAAAAGCACGCTCAGAAAATTTTGACGTTCGAATGAAAAAAATACATGCAATTTTATGATTTTTCTCTTAAATTTGATTTTCTATTGTTTATAATTGAAAACATTGTAAACATTTTTTATCAGAAATATAAAATATTTACAAATTTTGAGTTTACCGATAATCATTTTCATTTTAGTTTGTTACAATTACAAGATCACAAATATGTTTTTTTTTTGTCATTCGCCACAAATTTTTCTTGTAAATGAGAAATTATAATACAAGCCTTGTATTGTTTTGTACCAAGATAGTAATTAATACATTTAAATTAACTTCTAGTTGTGCTAAAAGTGAAAAAAAAATTTTTTTTTTTGCCAATGTTCTAAAAATGTAATCAAATTTTGACTACGACGTTGTTTATTGATATTTTAAATTTATTTACAAATTTTCATTAGCATTTTCCAATATTTTTAATTAGAACAAAGTTTCTTACAATTACATACAAAAATATACAAACATTTCCATATAATTAAAGCATTTAATCAACTTATAGCATAATTAAAAGTGAAAAATTATTTTTTTGGCCAATGCATTTACAAGCTCAAGAAATACTAGTATATTTTTAATAATTGTCTTTTTTTATTTTTTATTTAATTAAAAATAAAAGATTTGTATACATTTTTACATTATTCAGTTTTATTTAAATTTGAAGACAATTTTAAACTCAAAGAAAAACACAATTTTCTTTTTGTTTTTACTTATAATTAAATATAAATTTTGACATATTTTTTTTCAATTTTTGTATGCATTAAATTAATTCATGTTTTATTAAATAAAAATAAAATAAGAATAAGAATTGAATAATTTTTTTCCTCTTTGATAAACATTATTTTCCTTTTGAATGCATTTTATTAGAATTACAAAACACACGTACGCTAAAATTTGTAAGTGATACATATGTAATTATCATTTAGGCTAATATACGAAAACTGTATTATATTCAAATTTCTATAAAAAAAAGATGCAAAAAGTTTAGTCATTCGACATGTCACTAAACGTGTAGTTCATCAAGGACGTTAGTTTTCATAGTCGTTTGTATAAAATATCATTCGTTTTTGAAATTTTGTATAATAAATATTCTTACATTTTTATAATTTCAATCGTTTTTTTTTAATAAATAATTATAATTTTTCAAATTAAGTTATTTAAAAGTATTTATTTCATAAATTTTGGTAATTATATACTTGTCCAATTAAATTAAGCATATTAAAGAAAAATAATTATTATTACAACAATTATACAATTACATTAACAATAATTATAAGTAATTACAGACAAAAGAAAGTTGAATATAAAACACATGAATCATTGCATTGTAAGTCTGATTATAAGTATTAAATTAATATTTTGAAGTCATTCTGAAACTCTATTTGTTTCAATTGCATTGGACAATTTCAATCATTATTATATAATTTATTTAGTTACAAGATATATTAATATTATAAAAGATCTATATATTTTTCTAGCTAATTTGATGTAATTAAGAAAAATATAAAAATTTTGAAAAATTAGTATGACAATAAATTTTTGCAAAAAAAATAATGATTTTGAAACTACTTGTTGAAATACTTTGAGAAACGCTGCTTTGATGCGATAGTCTCAAGGCTATACAACTGACGCAGTGTTGCCAATTTTTGTTTTCGATGAAGCGTAGCCTCCAACGTCGCCAGGTTTAGGTCAACATAAACCGTGGTTTAGGATGGTTTAACGCTGCTTTAAAATATTTGTTAATTAATTCTCATGTACACGATGTAGTTGTAAATGGATTAACTAGTCTTTAAATCCTATAATGTACCTACAAATTGAGTGGTACAGATTATACAAATTTTATATTAGGGGAGTTAATTTTTAAATACTTTATAGTAAAGTAACTTGTATTAAGGATGGGTGAAAGTTGCTTTCTTTTTGTTACGCTTTTATTTTTGTACAAATATTAAAAGTGTGTCTGTAATGCTACTTTATTGAGTATTAAAAGATACAAGTGAGTTTGAGCTTTATTATTTTAATAAAATAATTGTTAATTGGATAAATTTGATACTAATATGATACCAAATTGACTGAATCGTAGATAATAATTTTACAATTTTACAAAATATTACAAACGGTTCTCTCGACTTTAGTGTATTGCTCGAACGAGATACTGGCTGTTCGAAATCTTGTATCTCACATTGATACGAGTTATATGATTCATTTTATAAACGTGCGAATATTGATATTTCGCAAATACATCGCAAAAAGCGCTCTCCTTCAATGAACTTTCAAGTATCATCTGCAAGTATTTATTTTCGTCATATATATAATATTCTTAATGTTGTTTACATTCAAGATTTACTCGAATATTGATGGACATTAAATTATAATGACATAAATATTACGAAAAAAAAATTGTCAGATTTTTTTTATATTTGTTTGGATTTAAATATATCGTTTGAGCGTATTAGAATGTAAACAGATCCTTAAATCCAAGTGTAGTAAATAAGGTTTTAAAAGGTGTGAAGTGTCTATTTAGAAGCCTGAGTACAGGGTGTAGCTTTGATTTATGCGTTTGAAAGTCGAGAGCGCCGCAGACCATTTATAACAGAGCTGTATAGAAATCATAATATTTACGTTAATTTTTGGTTAAGTTTATTTTGTTGGTGCGTATTATTGCACAGGGTTTTAGGCAAAAAGAACGGGTCAATTTCGTTGCGACGTAATCAATACCATTCGCCCCACGATTGCCATGGATTCGAGTGACCCTGTATACCACGATCACCATGGTTTTCGCCGTCCAGTGAACAACATTTATAGCGACAATGCGAACAATTCAATTAGTAGAAATGCATTCGTTATTAAGTTTAATTAGTTAAAACGCACCGGTTAGTTAGTTTGTTTTCAACAAATATATTCGTAGAGAATGTACGTATATATATTATAAATATAGTTTTTTTTTTAAATTAAATGAACAACCTTCGGTCGCTCTCTTGCTGTTTGCGCACTTCGACTATACCAAACTCAAATGAATGTTCGTACGTAAGGACGGATGGAATATGCATGCAAACTCACGCAGCAGCGCTCCTCACACTTATTCCATCCTGATCCAATAAAATATAACATGTATTCGTTTACAAAATGTTATTGTATATCTACTACAAATACTACATATACACACACCATAATCATACATACGTCTATATATACATATACCATAACCATACACCACCTATCTATCTATATCTGCATGAATACAATAAAACAATTGGTGGCTGAGGGGAAAATCCGCGCTCGACCATTTATTTCTTTCGGTATTTATTTATTTATTCGCATTTTAATCGCCCTGCCGCATTCATCATATCAAATTGTATTTATGCCTGTTATTATTTCGTAGCCATAGTTTTAATTAAACCAATTTATGTTGGTAACGCAAATAAAACTAAACAACAACAAATGCATCAAAATGTTGGTGTGGGATGGCGGCGAAAAAGTGCACATAAACGCGCGTACGCGACACCAAAACTAATGGTGAAACTAATAAAGAGATGGCGTTATGTAATTAACTAAAATACAGGTATTAACTTGGGTATTTTGTATCGGAATTTTGTAGTACAGTAACACATCGAGTTACGTTAAACTTTAATGATTTACATCTTTCGGGTCAGATTAACCTGATTAACTTAACCTCAATTTTACGTAAGTCGAATTTGTAAATTACTTAAGTAATTAGTAATTAGGAACATCATGTAGAACTAATTACTGTGTATAATGCAGGTAAACTAAAAAAAAATATAAAAATTAAAGAATTTAAAAAAAATCAATTTATCTAATAAAAATTTCAAATTTACATATGTCAAATACCTTATGTGAAATATTGTTGGAAACTGTTCGTGTAAATGTTCCAGAAGCGAAATTTTGTTAAAATACCGAAATTAATTAAAAAATATATTATTAAGTAATTTGTCACCTTGTTTTTGCCTATTTTCAACCTTATGAGAGTGTACAATTCTCATATTTTTAACTTAAAAAAAATACATAGGAATTTTGTACTATTCTCTTGTTTTTTTTTTTACTGTACACAAACCATAAAGATTTTGAAAATTGCAATTTTCAATATTTATATCATTCGTGAATTTGCAAAGACATTTTCCATATTTCATAGTTACTTAGTGTTTTTAATTGAATGGAAACAAATTCAGATTTAATTGACATTTTATAATTATAAAAATCAACAATTTTCATATTTTTTTTTCTAATAAAAATTTAATTATGTAAATTGTTTTTATGATTATTGCAGATTTTGTTAAAGTTTTTAACCCTTTTCATCCCATTTTTTTTTTCGAAAAAATATTTGTTTTATTCAAATCTTTTTTTTTTAATTATTCAACATAACCTAATGTTAAAAATACATTTAGCTTTAATTCACATTAGTTGCTTGCAACAGTTTTAATCTTCGAAAGATAGAATTGAATTTAAAAATTAATGATTCCATTTGGAATCACTGAGCTGGAAAGGGTTAAAGTTAAACTAAAATACGTATTTTCAATTTTTATTTCTTATATTAAGGAAAAAAAAAACATTAAATAATTAAATTTTATGTGAACTCTATTTGCTGTTTCAATTGTATATTATTTGATGACAATACATCAAAGCTGTATAGTTTCGTAGAGTAGAATATTTGTTTTCCAATGAAATGAACGTACGTGTGTTGAAAAACAAGATGAATCATTTTTCAATTCTCGAAATCTATTACAATTCAATATACAGTGGAACCTCGCTTAACTATCACCTCGT